TTATATAATAAATAAGGATAAATTTGGGTTTTCAGTAATGATATTTTCTCAAAAGTATCACATTATTATCATATAGATATTGATACTAAAGAAAATGTGAAAAAACAAGGATGTCGTTTGCTAATATGCACACAGTTTTCCCTAATATAAAATACACTTAAGCCTTGAGTATTGGAATCAAAACAGTAGGAAGTTGTCCACGTCTTAAACTAAAATTAAGTGGCTGGCTCATATTTAGGGTTGGTAGTCCGACTTGAGTTCGACAGGTTTTAACTTGACCCGATCTCATAAGGTCGGTTTTTTTTTTTTTAAAATTGAGTTTCGGATCGGATCGGGTATTACTAAAAAAAAGTTTGGGTCGGGTTGAATTTGGATTTTAGGCAAATCCAACATGACCTGATATTATATTAAAAATTATTTTTTAATTTTTTATTTATATATAATTATATATTTATATTTAAAAAATATTATTTTTATTATAAAAATAATATTTTATTAATTTCAAGTTAAATCGAATCAGATACGATTTATATAATATCAAATCGAGTCAAATGATATTAAGGGCATTCCAGTATAAGGTTCCATATGTAAGTTACAGCCCTACTGCAGGTACTTTAAGAACGAGCTTAAGGTACTTGCGCAGGATATGTGTAATGTTTGGGAGGCATTCAGGGGCTGCAGGACCATATATAGCTCTAATCTAAAGGCATTATGGATAGAGCCAAGCCTTGTCACCAGGCCAAGCCCTGTCAACAGGCCAAGCCCAGATCAGAGCCTGGAAAGTCTTCTCAGGCCAGATGGGTATCAGGCACCAGAGAACCCGTCTTAAAAGCTGGTGCTTGGTAGCTTGGATGATAAACAGAAGCTAATGGATTAAAGCTGAAAAGGTTGAAAACATCATGCATCAGATCTGCTGGGGACCCTGTGTAAATTAGTCTCTCTCATCTGTAAATATGAGAGGCTGATTGAGCTTTTTGTTGAGTAGTTGACTAATAGTACTCAAATCTGCTTCGTGGGCTATGATCTAAAACACTGTAAAATCCACTTCCCGTTCTCTATATGGCTGTAGATGAATCAGAAGTTCTTGTTCATAGTCTTAAATAGTACAAATACTGTATGATTTAAGTTACCAGGGACACAAAAAATGTACTAAAATAATTACAAAAGATACGTACCCAACAAAAAGAAATGATGATTACAAAGGATGTTTAAGGGGTAATTATGGGTTAACGTCCCGTGATCTCATGTGTCTCTTTTATCCAAGCACAAGAAGCGTACATACCCATCAAATGAATTCCAACATGAAGTTCACAAAGAATTTCTACTTTACATGCTGAGTTTGCTTCTTTCCCTTATGCTTTCAATTCAAGTAGGATAGATATTCCGGCCCTCGCTAAAATCTTACGGGCAAACTAATCTGCGTCTGACACTTCAGATAAGCCATATGGTATCCAATTCAATATAGCACTAGGGAAAGAATCTTGCAATTATCAGCAATAGACATTAATCATTTGGGGAACAAATCATCATACATAGATCTAGTAACCCTTACGCCCTTGTGCATGCTCTATAGTAGAGTGTTGAGTAATGAGTACAATGCCATGAATGATTTTCTCCTTTTTTTTTTTTTTTCCTTTTAGGTTCATTTATTGGGGAGAGATCATACGTTATGTAATGTATTTATATGGAAATCTAAGATTACAGTCCCCGTATAAAAATGATCAGTTACTGTTTTTTCACTTATTCACCAAGAAATGTTAGTTGATTGACTGATTACAAAAGCCGAAAACAACCTATTAAAAGAGCACTCCCAATTTTGCAGCCGTTAGAAACCCAAAATTTTTTTGATTGAAAGATGAGCCTGAGGTACATAAGCAGGACTTGAATTAAAGCAGTCCGATTGGGCAAACACCAGAATCCTAAAGGCATAATCAAGCCTTCTCAAGCAAGGCCTAAACCAAAGTCCGATTACTCATCTCAGTTACGTGGGTTTCAGCTGGATCAGAACCGGCAAAAATGGCTAGTAGGAATGGCAAATGCAGAACAAGGGAAACTGAGAAGATTGAGAATGCTATGCATCTAATGGAGTGGGGACCCAAGTAAAGGCTTCTGCTTGTCTTTCATTTCCAAACTCATGTTGTTCTAGTTTTTTATTTGTTTGATGTAACGAATCAGAAAACATTTTCAGGGATTTTTTGGATTAATTTTACTATAAATATGTTATTTGTAGTTATTTTATTTAGGGCTGAGTGAGGCTAAAAGAGATTCATGGAGTTTTGAGTATGGTTTGATGTGGCTTAAAAAATAGTTGTGGAATCCAGTTGTGCTAAATTAAAAATTGTGTGATTTTGTTGTCTTCGTTAAAATTATCACTTGAATGTGTTAGTTGACAGTTTGTCAGAATGTTTTCAGTATTCTTACTTCTGCAGCGTGATTAGAAGAAAAATTACTTCCAATTTCATGATTCCAATATAGGGGAAAGCTATCTGACTGAATTTTCTTTTAATAGAAAATTTACTATGTATTTCTTAACAAACTATTCTCATTAACATGTTGATTCGTGTTTGGACTAGCTCTGCTTCTATGTTCTAAGTTGAGACATTTTGCAAGAAGTAAAAGTTTTTCGCTGATATTGATCAAGTCAAAAATCTAAGGACGGTGGATTTACCTATTATTGAGTAGGTAGTTCTGATGCTGTTTTGCTAATTAGATCAATCTAGATCATGTGCTCTGATGAAGAGGACTTGAAAATCAATTACATCCACTTAACATCTCATTAAGATAATATACTTCGTTGTACAAGAGAGGCAGAAACCTAATTATCCAGGCAACTATTGTGTACAATATGGAAGACACTTTTATAGAAAAAAAAAAAGAAGGAAGATATTATATGTTCATAGACTCTCTGCACTCTAGACTGCTTAGATTTGCTTTAGGAAACAGCTCTAGAAGAAGACACTCAAGAGTTTAAAAGACTTGAAGATGTTGAACAACATTTTTTGTTGACATTAGTTAGGACCCCAGCAGCTCAAGTACATCACAGTCCTAAGGGACTCCTCAGCCTGTTTAAACTTGCTGTCACAACTTGTTTTAGCAGATTTATCAGTATTCATGGGATTAAAGGATCCTGAAATGCTTCTCACTTGCTTTGAAGAAGATTTCATAACCGATTCAGTTTTTGGAGCTTGGTCTTTCATTCCTTGCATAACCTGCGATTCTACTTGGAAGAATTCCCTGCTTGTGTTCCTCAAGCTCATCTCTGAGTACTCCTGTTCTATAACCAACCAAATGCTTTCTTCAGTTGTGCTTGGGTGTGTGTGATCAGGACTGAGAGAAAAGAAAGAGAGATAGAGAGACAGAATTCTGGAGAGAAGATGAGAGAAAAAGCATCTGATAAGGGAGTGGCTTTGTAGTTAACTATACTAATAGGCGGGCTAGAGAGCCTAGAAATGATGTACCCGTATATAAAGACCAGCAAAACCTCAGGGAGAATACCAATTTTACCTTCGTGTTTCGTGGTTTTTGAATAGAAAAAATGGTTTGAAGATGGTTTCCACCTCCATGGATGATGTATCAATTAGATTAATGCATTGAAGTTCTGATTCATCTGACTAATCCACCTCGCGAAATCCATTCCATCAAATTTAATATTGTGTAGAGTTGCACTTCATTCCCGCCCATGCTTCAAGTGAAAAATACACTCACTATTTCTACCTTAGTAAAACGGAATTAGCCCTCAAAAAGCATCAGTTGGTTGTAGTTTATTGCGACTTATTAGTTATTATGGTCTCTGATGCTGTCGTTTTACCCTAGTATCTGAAACTGTTACATAGAAGTGACTGCCTGGCATCTAGATATTAATGCACGTTAGTGGCTAGATTCCATTAGAAAGACAGAAATGACTAAAGTTTAAATTAATCCCTTTATCCGATCTCAATCTTCCAGGAAACTCATATCTTTTTAAAACGGTTCCACTTTTTATTTTTTTTTCTTTACCAATATTTACTTTCCCCCTTATTCCTGATTCTTTTGGGGGGTTCTGCTTTATTATTAAAATAAAAAAAAATAAAAAAAAGAACCTTTAGTTGGAAGTGTTTGCTGATTGCGAAAGATACCGTGCACGTTCTTCCTTATACATTGGAGCAGAAGGCATATATGCATGTGAGTTGATGAGTACCCTGGACACGTTCATCAGTCGGATAAGACTGACACACACTCGGCTGCAACTTGTATTTTAGTTATTGGTTACTACGTTGAGTCAAAGGCTTATTAGCCAAACCATTAAAAGCTGCATTTAGTTTTGAAATCCAAAATTTTACTACACATTTTATTACCACTGAGATTGGGGTGACATGTTTTGCAAATTCTAATTATGAAGTTATCTTGGTTAAGTTGGTGTTTCAAATTAGTGTTTTCTTTATACAAGAAAGAGTTATTTCTGCAAACCAGAGTGAATGACAGGGTACATTGCTCACTCTGCAATTTGGAGTCCAAATATATATTGAAGTTCAGAATTAGTTTGCTACCCCTCTCTTCAAGATTCTGTTGTTATGAGTTTATACCCTATAGGAATCAAAACATGTTTTGAGTATTGCCTTTTCTCAGGCATATCAGATATTTTATATCCCGGCTTCAGCAGCCTACTTTGCTGCTTAAGTAATTAAGCAAAGAAAATGTCATCATTTTGTACCACTCTTTTCTTTTGCCAAAATCTTATCTTTCTCTTGAATAAGATAAACCACACCGGGCCATATTCCATCTGGCTTGAGAACTACTAACAAGGAAGTTGAGTCAATTTACGCTTACTTTCTCATCAGGTTTTTTGTAGCTGTAAATTGGCCTTTTCCACAAGGGAATTCTGTCAGTTGTTGCAAATGCAGCGTTTCAAAGAGAATGCAACACTGATAATTGTGTAAAAGAAAAACAATGGGCTTTTATAGAATCATGTATCACTCCAAAGGCTTTCCCGTTCAGGGTAGGAAACCTAAACCACACAAGTACGAGAGAGAAGAGAACACAAGTAGCAAAGGCCACGTGTCAAAAGCTCACGAGCTCCTCTCCAAATTCACAGAAATCCCCGTTTCCCTTCCAAGTTGTAACACTGGATAAGCCTCTCTTCCTCTCCCTTCAATTCCAACCCAGAAACCAATGCAAAACCTCAGATTCTTACTATGATTTAACCCCAAAACTCCCCAATTTCCAAAACCCAAACTTTCCCAAAAATCTCCCTTCCTTTTTGTATATTCATTTATAGGCAATAATACATATACAGATAGTTTCAAAAACCAATGGCGGCAGTTAGTTCCCTGTCTTTCATGGCAATTGGTCAAACTTTCGGCAACAGAAAAGTCAATGTCTTATCGGCTTGTTTCCTGCCTTACAATTTCGAAGGATTCCGTTTCCGCACAAGCCTTTTATATCAGTCCATTGGAGTTGGAGTTTCCACTACTGCTTCTGCTTCCATTGTTCGCTGTATGTCTATTGCAACTGGTTAGTTAATTTTTCCATTTCTTTTTCTCTTTGTCTTTGCAATGCTGGAACTTTTCCACACGGAATCAAATTATAGAAATTATTCGATTTATTGATGTTTTTGTTGACAGGTGATTTGTTTGTCTGTTTTGAGTTTGATTTTCAGATGTCCCAACTGTATCTGAAACAAAGTCGAATTTTTTAAAAGAATATAAACAGCCCATCCCAAGTGTGTACAACACGGTTTTGCAGGAGCTGATTGTGCAGCAACATTTGATGAGGTACAAGAGGACGTATCGTTATGATGCCGTCTTCGCGCTTGGTTTTGTTACCGTATATGATCAATTGATGGAAGGATTTCCGAGTGATGAGGACCGGGATACCATTTTCCAAGCTTATATCAAAGCATTAAAAGAGGACCCTGAACAGTACAGGTTTGTTTATCGAGTTTCCTCGCCTTCATTTACGAATTAATGGTGCACATACTAACTAGTATGGCTAAATATTTGTGAAATGGATCAGGGAATTTTCTATCAGGAATGCAAAAAAAAACTAGGATAAGCAAATTGCATTGACTATACTATGTTGAAATATAGGAAGTAGATTCCTGACGGGCAGACGTTCGATCATTAGTACTTGCAAATTCCCCTTCCCTAATTCCCCTTAGGCCTTGGCCTCCTTGGTACAATATATTTATATTTATATATACATACATATATATATATATATATAGGAAGTAGAATTGAAAAAGGAATGCGGAAATTTCTTCATGTGTTCCAAGATCATAACTATGATATTGTTCATGAAATTGGGATTACGTTCCTTATAATGTGTGCATTTTTTAATTAAATCTTGAAGTAAATGAGAAGGTTTTCTTCTCTTTTTCCTGTGTTGTGCCCTACAGAACAGATGCACTGAAGTTAGAAGAGTGGGCCTGCTCTCAAACTTCCAGTTCACTAGTTGAGTTTCCATCAAGAGATGGAGAAGTTGAAGCAATACTGAAAGACATTGCAGAAAGAGCTGGGGGCAAGGGGAGCTTCAGCTATAGCCGTTTCTTTGCTGTTGGGTTGTTTCGTCTTCTTGAGCTAGCCAATGCTACTGAACCTACAGTGTTAGAAAAGGTAGAATCCTCCTTTCCTTGCATATATAGGTTTATTATTGGACTAAGTTCTGAATTACTCACACTTCAGCACCAGTAGAATTTATCAGGCGCAGGCCTAAGACACTATCGTAGGATTGTTCGGCAGGATATGTGAACACTCATTAAATCAATAAAGGCTTAACATGAATCACCACTAACTTTACTTGTATTTACAAGATGCTGAGGATAGAAAAACGCTGACAAGAGAACTGGAAATATCACAATTCACAAATGAAAATTGTAATATAAAGTATGACGAAGAACTGTACCTAGGATTTTAATTTATGACATCTGTACAACAGCTCTGTGCAGCCTTAAATATCAACAAACGAAGTGTGGATCGGAATCTTGATGTGTATAGAAATCTGCTTTCCAAGCTGGTTCAAGCAAAAGAGTTGCTTAAGGAGTATGTTGATAGGTAAGTTCACTCCTCCTAGTTACCTTTTTCTAGTTCATAGTATTACACTCTATTTCTTTTGCCTGCTATGCATTCTGTGTTGCAGTTGAACAGATATCATCAGTCTGATGTAGAACATTTACATTGTAAATTCTTGCTATTAAACGGCTTGAAAGAATAACCAATCTTTTAGATACGAACCTATTGCAGTAACAAGCAATTTTTAGATATCAACGTTCTGCAAGAAAGCTATTTTTAAGTGAGAACCTTCTGCCACGATACCTTCAATTCTAAATGTGCTCGGCTCTTTGTATCATTTCCAAATAATGAATGTACTTGAAATGCTCTGCACCTTACAGATGTGATTCATCACTAATCAATTTTAAGCTATTAATGTAAGTCATCCTCTGTTGCTGAATTCTTTTAATCGATGCTGTTGTCTTAAATGTTTTTGACCTCAGGGAGAAGAAGAAAAGAGAAGAAAGATCAGAAACGCAGAAGGCCAATGAGGTTGTAAAAAATTGTCTGGGCGAATACCAATACGTGATCCAATAATTCGATCTTTTGACTCCCAGTTTGCTTGTCATCTTTTCTGAGACTTCAATCCCCTTTTTGTTTTCTCTGAGGTAGAAACAGTGTCATCCATGGTTTAGGCACAATTTATCAGCTTGTTTGCTGTTTTCAGTTTGGTGGTTAAGATACATACTATATTTGTATTTTTCCAATAGTCTTACTCATCCAAATGTATTTTTTGTTCATTGTCCATCAACTACTTATGGCATCATAAAATTTGTCTCTCATTCAATTAACATTCATTCACAAGTTTCAACTGTAGCAGTGTTAGTCTGGCAGTTGTTTAAAACATACATGGTAGTTTCAATATGAACTCATGAAGATTAATCCCATCTATTGATTTCTTTCATATAATATGTACATGAGAATTTATAAATGTTAGGAGGTTCATTCCATTTGTTTATTTATATAGGACACCTCGTTGTGCTGGTTCAAGCTTTTCAGCGTTTTAAAAGTTTCAAGACAGATATAAGTGTAAAATCTAAACCTAAATAGGAGCTGCAGTGCATTCAAATTTGAATTAAGAATAGCATTAACGTTTAACGGTAGTAAAAAGAGGGAGCTTTAAAGCACATTTTTAATGCTCATTGATTGTAGCCACCACCAAATGACCCAAACAATACCAAAATACTGGTAAGACATCTAGTTCCCCCAGATAATGGCTTCATTTAAGATTAGATCATCTGGTTTAAGATGACAGCAATTTACATAAGAGTGGAATCTTTACAGCAATATTGAACCCCAAATAATCTTGAACCAAGAGAATCACTATTACACAGTACAAGTACATGATAATAGCAAATAAATTGTTGAAGGTTATTAAGGTAGTAATTGCTGTATCGAAGACGTGGTTGGGAGGTGAACAAATGTAACTAGACTAGAAGAAGCTTCAAACTTTGTTAAAAAATAGTAACGAATTCATCCATCTGATTCTTGTCTAAAGCCAACCCGACCTCAATTCCACCTTGCCCATCCCTGCAGTCTGCCAGAGATATTGCTCCATCTTTATCGATGTGCGTCAGCTCAACCTTACAAGGCCTTCCCCACCCAAAATCCGTATCGTAGACATGGAATTTTGGCGACCCAGCAGTTGCAGTAAGACGCCCTGATATAATTCGTTCTATAAGAGTTGATTTCCGATGCTCTGCACCTCTCAAACCACTTCTCTCCATTTCTTTAATTTTGCTTCCGATCGCTTTCGCAGCCAAAACAATTCCATTTTTTCCTATTAGCTCACTTTTCTTTACATCAACAACACCCGATTTTAAACAATTCCCAAAGTATGTTGTTGGCACCGGAAATTCCAAGCGGTTCCAGCAATCAAACGGGAAAAGGAAGTAGTAAAACTTATCATCATCATCATGTGATAAATTATTAGTAGCACTCCCTTTTGATTTAATCAAACAAACCATTATGAAGGCACATGTTACCGCAAAAGTCGAGATGTGCAATTCTCTGACTCTATGCCGTTAGTACACTGAGCTGTGACTAAATGCTTAAGTCTCTCGGCGTGCGCTCGACCCAACACAAATGTGGCCCTAACCTTGTCTGCTGCTACATCATGGGTTGGGGCTGAATTCTCACTACAGGACGATATCTAATGCCAATATTCCATCAAAAAATCTAACTCCATGCCGTCAGGATCCTTGATCACTTCCTTGTTAATCAAAGGAAGTGAATTTTCAAGACAGGTTAAGTTACCACCCGACCTATAAACAGACGTCCAAGACTTCATGAAATGCATGAAAGACTTGCCATCACCAACTACATGGCAATAAGCTGACCCGATGCAAATGCCTGAGTTTGGAAACACAGTGACTTGAAAGGCTATGATGGGGAGCACACGAATGCCATCTTCAGTTAAACGCTCTGGTGGCAGCTGCGGTACAAAGGGGTGTAACAATTTAACAGGTCGAGGATAATTGGCTATGACATGGTTTGAATCTGCAAAGGATTCAGCAACCGTGAAGTTGACAAAGTCACCCTCCATGTAATGGATATAAGGCTTGCCAGGTGGTTGAGGGCACATGATAGTAGCGGCGTATGGGAAAAAACGTTGGAGAGTTAGGGAGAGGGAGCGTTTTATCATTGGGAGAGTGGTTTCCATGAAATGCAAAGTAGGGTGAGGTAATTCATAGAAGAGAAGGCGTTGTATATGACCACATTGAAACCATGACATATCAAAATAAACGTGAGGGAGAGAGATTGTGGGCACTGAACCCGGAGGAGGCAAAACATGAATGCTCTCCAGAACCTTCACCGTTCTAATTTTAGCCATCTAGGATAAGATACAGAAATTTGGCACACTTCTTCACGGTTCACACTATTGTATAGACCAAAGGGGCGAATTAAAGCAAATCTCTAAAACACAAATTCAATTTTTAAAAAAAATCAAAAGAGAATTTAATTTGGGTTTTGACCCAACATCCGAAATAATTGAACCTTTAATTATGATAAATTTTACAAGACAAGATTCGTGAACCAATCCCCAACATTTAAGTATCTAAAAGAATTGGCCCAACGAATGGTTGCTTGGCATTTGGCGAAACCTGTCCCTTGACCCACAATTATTATTTGGCAAAACCCGTCATAATTATTACTTTACATTTCCCAGCATGATAATTAATGTCCACATAAATAGCATTTCTTTTTAATATTTGTTGTCTTATCGAAGATGATGAATTTATATTTTACATATTATAAAATTATAAAAGTTTATTTTATTTTATTTTTAAATTTGATAAATTTAAAAGACAAATAAATTTTTTTAAAAAATTAATCTTATTTTTAAATTTATTAAAATTAATTATTCAAAAATATGTAAAATTAAAAAAATTTATGCTAGATATAGTGATCCCTCTTACTTTACAAATATTATATTTGTTTTCGTATCATCCGTTTCTCTACTGTTTTTCCATGCCAAAATTTTAAATCACTTAATTTTTTTGACTTTAAAAGGATATAAAGAGAATTTAGAATAAATTATGTAATGAAGACAAGATTTAAATAAAACTATTTAGTTAAATTTTATATATTTATTAAAATTTCTTAATTAAAATTTTAAATTAATAAATTCAAAGATTTTATCTATAAGTCAATTGTTTTAAATTTGATAATAATTAGATATACTAAATTCCATCCTCGTGTTTCCTGCGAGTAAAGCAGGTGATAGTCTAAGTTGACAAAAATGGTTGAATCATTGTATTTTGTTTACATCAATTTTTTTTTTTTTTTTTTTTATGTTTAAGCAATATAACATGCATAGATATTTTAAGAATTACAAATTCATTATCAACTCTTATATCTTTCTGTTAATGTTTCTTATAATTAGACGTTATTATAATTCTTAATTAGGCCAACTTAAAATTACAATTATTTTGTTTTAGTACTCTTGGAATTACCATTTTTCGGGTTCTAAGCATTTTTTTTTCTCAAGGATGCTAGACAGAGATTAAGTGTAATTCAAAGACCTCGGATAATTCATGGACATAAATAATATAATCTTTTTTATAATTTAGAAGGTTGAAAATGAACATACGTATCTCACAAAGATATAAAGAGAGAAAGATTAGGACTTCCTCTTATTTATATTTCTTGATAATCATAGGTAAGCTAATACTTTTTAAAACTATATATCATTTTAGAACCAAAATAGTCACAATTTAAAGAATATTTAGAAAAACATAGATATCAAGAAAAATTCATTTATTTTGAAATAATGTTCTATATAGGCAACCACAATAATCATGTTGTATCAATGAAAGCGAGGAATCAAGGTGGTGATATAGTTGGAAAAACATCTAAAATGTATATGATAAACCCACCATTGTGGAAGTAGAGATGTCTGACGAAGAACAAATGAAAACAAGCACATGCTCGAGCAACAATGAAATTAGTCATAAACTAAACATTAGAGAACAAGAATATATAGTAACAAGGCAAAAAGAACTTAAAAAGGTATGCATATAGAGAATAAGATCAAATGAGAGAAATATTAAAATTAAAGACAGTTTAATGTTAAAGCTACACAATTAAAAGAAATATATAAAATTAAATTAAAAGAAAAATAATAGTTGGAGCAAGAAAAAAAAAAAAAGAAATCTCGAAAGACAAATATAGGAAGAAAATAAAAATATTAATAAAGGGTGAAGCAACATACAAAAAATTTCAGTTCTTTGAAAAGACGATGATTAACATGCAAATCAAAATCCAAGGAACCAAAACTATAGAAAATTCATAACAAAAGAATCTAAAGGAAAAAATTGTTTGTATGAAAAAAGACAACATCCTAATATAAAATGAAAAGGTAAATGATAGAGTATTGATAAACATACATGTGGATATGCATTATCTAGAGAAACACAAATGTTATTGTTACTTTTTAATGTCATTAATAATTTTATATCATTCCATTCATTCACCAAACAAATAATAGGCAAATATTATTCATCCTCATTAGAATAAAAACAAATAATTTTTACTTGGAAATAACAAAAGTTTTTTTTTTTTTTTATCACTAGGCATTTGTGCATCAGTAACTAATAGCCTACTATAATTAACTAATAGATGTGGTATCAATGAAAATATTTTAACCCTTAAATTCGTAAATATATATATATATATATAAAAATATAATATAGTATTGATCTCAATCACAACATAGCCCAAACATGAGCAATCATGTAAGTTAGGAGAGTATAAAATGAAATGTTAATGGCACACTAATCCTATGATGCATTTGATATGATAACTATCCATTGCCTGCATAGAACTACTTAATTAAGTAAACACGTGGCAAGGCAAAAATGCCACCAATGTCATCGAAAGGATTTCAGGCAAGGAGTATAATCCTTCTATCATTTGAATTTTTCTTAATTTTTCTAATAACAAAGTAATAATCTTTCGTCTGGCATTTACAATAAAGATTTCAGAGGTTATACATGAGTATGAAGAGCCATACCTTTCAAGCCTTTTGTTCTAATCAAAAGTAAGAAATGATAAATCAACAATTTGTTTGACTAATTAAGAAGTGAATTGATTAAACTTTTAGAATTTCATTATTATACATTAAAATATATATGGACAAATTTACAAATTCTAAAATGATTGCAACTATCTTTTTCATACTTAAGTCAAAATAAGAAAACACATTATTTTCAATCAATATATATTTCATTAGCACTTATATGTTGCAGCAGCATGATTTAAGCAATGCATATATATCTAAAGAAAAAAAAAATTTGTAACCATCATTATAAATTTTCTTTAATCGTTTTTTGTGGGTGTAGTAAGGTGGGGAGTCATTTTCATGACTTGTAATTTACCCA